GTTTCCTGATCAGGGATCAAACCCACTCCTCCTGCTTTGGAAGCATGGAGGGAGTCTTAACTGCTGAACCACCAGGGAAGTCTCATCCTTCTTTTAGGCCTAAGATAGTCAAATGTCAAAGGTGCCCATCCACCAGCCCTCCCATTCCTCCTGCACATAAACCCCCACTGACAGGAGTCTCAAGATGGGAGGGAAACGGATCAGAGAGAGGATGCCCTGGCCAAGATGCTGAGACTCTTAAGAGAGTGGCCCAAAGGCCTCTGAGCCCCTTTAACTCTAACTGGCTACAAAGAGCCTTTGTGCGTTGACGCCATCTGGCTGGAAATGAGAAATAAGAAACCACCTCCAAATTCCACGAGGAAGGCTCATCACTGCTTTGCAGCAATGATTTTAAAGCTGCTGGCTCAACAATAAGAAGCAATCAGTGCCCGATAAGACACGACTACACAGACAAGCCCCAACACGTTATGCTGACTAGAGGAAGCCAGGCAGTAGAGAGCACCCCCTGTCTGGTTCCATTTATATGAAATATTAAACTAGGCAAAACTAACCTCCAGCGGGAGAAAACAGAATGGTGGCTGCCTGTGATGGGAGGGGCTGGGGCACCAGAACTTTCTGGGCAGGTGGTGATGTTCTGTACCTTGAGGACTTTGAGTAGCAGGTGTATGTAGCTGTCAAAACTCAGCAAACGTACACTTAAGATTCACGCATTTCACTGTGAAATTTTACATCAAGAAAAAAAAAACAGCAAACAAAGATCATTAACGATATTTGTTCATGATAGGCATGTTAAAATATTTACAGGGCAGTGTACTGACATTGGTAATTTACTTAGAAGTGCATAAATAAATAAAAAGGGGACTTCCTTGTGGTTCAGTGTTTAAGACTCTGTGCTTTCACTGCCAGGGCCCAGGTTCAATCCTTGGTCAGGGAATAAAGATCTTGCAAGCTGCACACCACAGTAAAAAAAAAAAGAAAGGAAGGAAGAAAAAGAAGATGGGTTGATGAATGGATACATGGGAAGCTATGTGCTAAAGCAGGTATAGTCAAATGTTCATCATAGGGGCTTCCCTCATGGTCCAGTGGTTAAGACTTTGTTTTCCAATGCAAGGGATGGGGGTTTGATCCCTGGTCAGAGAGCTAAGATCCCACATGTCTTGAAGCCATAAAACCAGAACACAAAACAGAAGCAATATTGTAACAAATTCAGTAAAGGCTTTAAAAATGATCCACATTATAAAAAAAAAAATCTCTGAAGAAAATTAAAATTTTAAAAATGTTTATTGTAGAATCCAAACAATCGCTATATGTGTGTTCCCTGTACAACTCTTATCAACTTTCCTAGATATTTGCAATTTTTCATAATAAAATATTCAGGGAGCAAGGGGAAAGCTAGACATACAGGGGGTGAAAAAGGTAAGCTAAGGCTAAGAAAAAAGTACAGAAGCTACTGTACTTACTGGAGTTTAAGGCAGCTGTGAGCTGCTCAGACAAATGGAAAAGAGAAACAGGGCAATGCTGAGCACAAGAGCAGTCATTCACTGGGCAACCACCACACATTAGAAGTGTGTGTTAGACAGTCTGCTGACTCTGCCATCGCCATCTCCCTGCAGGGAAGCATATTATCATTTTATAGAGAAGCAGATTGAAACTCAGAGTGAAGTAATAACATACCTGTGGTCATGAGGCTGGAAACTGGAACTAGCTCTGCCAGCCTCAAAACTCCAGGGCTACAGAGGAAAAAGCAACATGAATTCAGCATTTCTTCCCTCTTTCCAAGGTCAGGACCATACCAAGGGCACAGGCATGGCCGACGGCCGCTCCTACCCAGCAGTGCCACCTGCCACACAGTGGGTGACAGCACTGACAGTTGCCCTGAATTCCAGTCACTGAATTCTCCCAACAGTCCCCATGAGCCTCCCACACTCAATCCTCCTCCTGCTCTTTGTACTGCAAGAATCTATCTACCCACCAGAAGTTTAGCCATCATCTCTGTGCATACACCCTGATTCACAAATGTTGCAAAGCTCAGCAACATCCAACAGTTTTCCAGCCCACCCACCTTCCTACTCTGCAGAGGTTAGTCAGAGAGCTAAGATCCCACATGTCTTGAAGCCATAAAACCAGAACACAAAACAGAAGCAATATTGTAACAAATTCAGTAAAGGCTTTAAAAATGATCCACATTAAAAAAAAAAATCTCTGAAGAAAATTAAAATTTTAAAAATGTTCATTGTAGAATCCAAACAATCGCTATATGTGTGTTCCCTGTACAACTCTTATCAACTTTCCTATATGTTTGCAATTTTTCATAATAAAATGTTCAGGGAGCAAGGGGAAAGCTAGACATACAGGGGGTGAAAAAGGTAAGCTAAGGCTAAGAAAAAGTACAGAAGCTACTGTACTTACTGGAGTTTAAGGCAGCTGTGAGCTGCTCAGACAAATGGAAAAGAGAAACAGGGCAATGCTGAGCACAAGAGCAGTCATTCACTGGGCAACCACCACACATTAGAAGTGTGTGTTAGACAGTCTGCTGACTCTGCCATCGCCATCTCCCTGCAGGGAAGCATATTATCATTTTATAGAGAAGCAGATTGAAACTCAGAGTGAAGTAATAACATACCTGTGGTCATGAGGCTGGAAACTGGAACTAGCTCTGCCAGCCTCAAAACTCCAGGGCTACAGAGGAAAAAGCAACATGAATTCAGCATTTCTTCCCTCTTTCCAAGGTCAGGACCATACCAAGGGCACAGGCATGGCCGACGGCCGCTCCTACCCAGCAGTGCCACCTGCCACACAGTGGGTGACAGCACTGACAGTTGCCCTGAATTCCAGTCACTGAATTCTCCCAACAGTCCCCATGAGCCTCCCACACTCAATCCTCCTCCTGCTCTTTGTACTGCAAGAATCTATCTACCCACCAGAAGTTTAGCCATCATCTCTGTGCATACACCCTGATTCACAAATGTTGCAAAGCTCAGCAACATCCAACAGTTTTCCAGCCCACCCACCTTCCTACTCTGCAGAGGTTGGAAAGTTAAGACACTCCCTTCACTGACTCCCTTGCAGCTAGATTCTTCCAAGGAAACACACTCATGCAAGATTTTTCTTTTTTGGGGTGGGGGCACAGGGAGGGAATGTGGATCATTTTAAAAGTCTTTATTGAATTTTGTTACAATATTGCTTCTGTTCTTTTTGATATTTTGATTCTTTGGTCACAAAGCATGTGGGGTCTTAGCTCCATCACCAGGGACCAAACATGCACTCTCTGCATTAGAAGGTGAAGTCTTAGCCACTGGACAGCCATACAAGATTTAAAAGGTAGAGGGGAATGACAAGAGACAGCAGCTACAGGTTAGGTCAGAACTTCCTGCAAAACGGTGGGAGGGGTGTCTGATGCCTTGGAGCAGCTGTGCAAAGGGTTTAGTGTTCTGCCTCTAGTGTCAGAGGTACTGCGGCAGAAGTGAGTTAGAATCATGTTATGGCTGCAGCCTGGACCTAAGCTGTGTCATTGCTGAACATGAAACATCGAAGCCTGGTTCTCCCAAAGATACTTTAAAACTGTCCGATAAATCACCTGTCACTTAGATAGCTTAGAAGCAAGCTACTCTCTGTGACAAAGATCCTAACCTTGCCTGTGAGCAGCTCTGAGACTGCCTCCCAAGTTACAAGCCTACACCACTGCCTGCTAGGCAAGAAAACTCCCTAGAACAGGATGTTAGCTTCCCACTTTCCATGTTGGAGGGACGGCAGGAGAGGACGAAAGGAATAGATAGAGTACATGACAGTCTGTCAGCTTCTAGGAATACATGCACAGACTCCCAGAAGGGCAAACCTAGAAGAGACTTTCAAATACCCCAAGGACAAGAGAGCACACACAAAGTGAAGGCCTTTCAAGGACCCTGGGCTGGGATCTGGAATGAAGCAGGTCACTCTTAGAGGCCATTTCAGTGGGTAAGGATGATCTCATTCAAAAGCCATGTTGGCATGGTGATCTAAGGACAGTCTAATGATGTACAAAGGCATGTACAAAGGATTTTTTTAACTATCACAGTTTACACAGATGTAAATATTTTTTTTCCCTCCAAAGAAATATCCTCAGGGGCTCCTGGTTTATTGTCATCACCCAAAACCTTTAGCTTTGTTGAGACAAATCCATCTGCTCCATGCATGGTTACAAGACTGGGAAACAGCTGAAACCAAGTCAGGGCCATTTTTAGTCAAAAATGAGGTGAGACCACAAAGCAGACAAAATTCTTTTCTGTGGTGGCTTGTCACTGGTTCTGAAGGCAGTTCTAGGGGGGAAAAAAAGAAGAGCTTTCAAAATAATTTGAGCAATGGCAGCATTGTTGTAAAAACGACTCCTGCCATTCTTGCATATACATTGTTGGGAATTCACATTTAGGAAAATACATCTTTAGAGTCACATCATATAGAGGGAAACTGAAGTGTGGTCACTGTTTCTTGGTTTATTTTGTGTGCACCAACCAAGAAGGAAAAAAAAAAAAACCTGCTACAGTCTCCTTTTCATGAAGATGGCGCCGAAGGCGAAGAAGGAAGCCCCTGCCCCTCCTAAAGCTGAAGCCAAAGCAAAGGCTTTGAAGGCCAAGAAAGCAGTGTTGAAAGGTGTCCACAGCCACAAGAAAAAGAAGATCCGGACGTCACCCACCTTCCGGCGGCCCAAAACACTGNCCCAGGGGAGCCAGGTTAACTAGAGGTTAACTAGCTGCCTTCCGCTGTAGGGCGCACAAGTTCAATTCCTGGCCTGGGAACTGAGAGCAACATGCCTCAGAATAGCTAAGCCTGAAAGCCACAAGATACCCATTCATCGCAACAAAGACCCAATGCAGCCAAAATATAAATAAATAAAGCTTTCTTAAAAAAGAGTGGAGGGGTGTGCAAGAGAAACAAACATGTCACATCTGCCAGCACATCAAGGTCAGGTAGAACCACTGCCAAATGACCAAAGAATACTCTATCCTAAAGCCCTGAGAGGAAACGCCAATCCCCAGGGAAAAGTCTCACATGTGTAATGCAATGTAATCAGATTTAGCTAGGTACCTTTCAGAATTCAGAAGTGCGTCTTCTATTTCAGCATCATCAGAAAGAGTGCATCTACCTACAGATAGATCCGAAGAAGTTGTAAAGCTGATTTATTCATAATTTGAAAAAATAAAAGCAACTATTAAACCCAGTTCTCTTTGCAATATAAGGAACTCCCCGGAAGTTCAGTGGTTAGCACTTCGTTCGCACTTTCACAGCCAAGGGCTCAGATTCATCCCTGATCAGGGAACTAAAATCCTTCAAGTTGCATGCCCAAAGGAAAAAAAAAAGTGACTTATTCTTTGCAATATACTAGAGGAAATTAACATCAGGCTCAGAGATAAGATATCCCAACACAATCTTTTAATACCCCGGGAACACAGGGTTCAAGAATAGCTCTCTTCACATTTTGAAATTATTCTCCATCACTCAAATCAGCTAATAAATAAACCAAAACACTGAATGAATTTCAGGGCACAAGCCAGATAATGAGAAACCAGTGGGTATTCTTTGCTGTATAACAAAGCCACAGGGCAGAAAGATCCTATTTAGCATCACTTTTCTGGAGTTTTTCCAAAATTGTCTCAGAAGCAGAGAGCCAGTTTCTGGTTCTAACTGTCACAAAGCCAGAGTATAACTTTGAACTAAATGTCATCTCTTTGGGGCTGCTCTCTTACCTGTGAGATGAAGGCAAGTTCATTTGAGGATCTTCAGGGTCCTGGAATGATGCCCAGAGAAGGAAAATGTCAGCCTCCGCCTGCCTCTTACTGTTTATTTCTTTTGGAAAATGCTTCCAGAAAAAGACAATGGTAAAACGTCAGGATTATTTCTGAGTTGTAACATGTGGTCACAGAGTTACTTACAATCAGGTTCTCTTAAATGCAGAGAATGAAAAAGTTGCCTATCAGTTAAGAAGACCAAAACTCTCCCTCCTGGGGATCAGATGTATTCCACGGTAAAAACAGTTCTTCCAAACTCCCTGGCACAGAGGGGACCATCTTAGCGTCCGGCTGAAAATTTTAAAAATTACCCAAAAAACTTCCATGAGCAACAAACAGATCAAGATCCAGTGATCCTGCAAATCAGGAGCCTCAGAGATTCCTTCCTGAGCTCGCTTTTGGGTTTCATCAACCTAACCAAGCACTCTCTCCCTGGAACTTCCCTGGTGATCCAGTGGCTAAGACTCTATGCTCTTAATGCATGGGATCCAGGTTCAATCCCTGGTCAGAGAATTAGATCTCACATGCCACAACTAAAGATCCCATGTGCCACAACCAAGATCTGGCACAGTCAAATAAATAAGCAAATATTTAAAAATAAATAAATAAATAAAACACCCTCCTCATGTCGCTCAGGATGTCAGAGGTACCACATAAAGTAAGGCTGGCACCAGTCACACCCCACTGGTCATTCAGACCCTCATATACCCTAATCAAGTTCAACAACATGATGTAAAATTTCTTCCACTTTTAATACAGTAAAATTTATAATGTAGTGTTAGTTTCAGGTGCGCAACAAAGTGATCCAGTTATACACACACACACACACACACACACATATATATATATATTCTTTTTCAGATTCTTTTCCATTATAGGTTATTACCAGATACTGAATATAGTTCCCTGTGTTATACAGTAGGTCCTTGTTGGTTATCTCTTTTATATACAGTAGTGTGTATCTGTTAATTCCAAACTCCTAAATTGTCCCTCCCTACCCTATCCTCTTTGGTAGCCATAAGTTTGTTTTCTATGTCTGTGGGTCTATTAACATGATATAAAATTAAATTAGAACCCTGCATTCAATTCACATTCAGGATAACAAGAGCATTTGCATCAATTGGGATCCTAAACAGACTATGGAAATGGATGCAATAGGGGAAAACAGTTTAAATATTTTGTTGTCTGGCCAAATTTCTAACTCAGATCCAATTGACCAAAATGAGAAAGCAAGGCTACAATGGACACCAGAGGGTTGCAGGTTAGTTTACATAACGCAGCAGTCCCCCCACCCCCGCAACCCCACAGCTTGCAACGATCCAGTTCCCAGTAAGAATGGGAGTTTTGCCGCCCTGCCTCCCCTTCATCGGCTCAGAAACCAAGTGTCTCCGAACCTTCCTGACTTCTGGAAACTGCTACAAGAGACTGTGTGACCACCTCCCTCCCTCTCAAGGGTATAACCCACGTTCACTCACACACACACACACACACACACACACACACACACACACACAAGGTTGCTCTCCACTTGGGAGAAATTAACCACAAACCATTCTCTTTAATCCTTCTTCCTCATTTTGAAAAGAAAATACACTCCAAAGTCCAAAAATAACTCACCCCCAAAGAGTTGAAACACAACCTGCTTGTACACAAAAGCTGTCTGAAAATTAGCATAAACCACCTCATAGCTCAAAAATACCCAGGTGCCTCTCTCTGTTAATCCTTCATCAGGAAACCCGAGCTTTATTTTTTTATTGTCCAGAGCCGTCTTAAGAGTCTCCATGTAGAACTCACTGCAAAAAGAACACTTCTAAGCAAGCCTATAACAAACAGAATTCTCAAGCTGTGCCTGGCTCAACCATCAGATACCGAAAACAAACCAGACAAACACAAACCCCGTGGCTGCCTTCCTGGCGTGACATCGTCACGAGCCACCAAACAAGGTAGGGAAGAACCCAAGTGCCAGGTAGGCTCCAGGAGAAAAGTGGACCCCCCGCCCAGGAAGCTTGGGAGGTTGGTGGTCTGAACTGCATCTTAGCAGGCAGGTGTCACTTTATAATTTAAAATGTAATAAGAGAGGCTGGGGGGACGTGCAGAGAGTACATGGGAACTCCGCAGTTCCACTCAATTTTGCATGAAACCTAAAGCTGCTTTTAAAAAAAGAGTTTCTTTTTAAAGAGAGGAGATCATTCTCCATGGTCTTGTATTTCCTCTCTACTCTTTTCTGAGTTTTCTAAGTTTTTGTATAAGGAACATGAAATAGTACTTTTTTAACTAGACAGAAAAGTCATTAAAATAGAGAATGAGGGAATCCCCTGGTAGTCAGTGGTCAGGACTCAGCATTTTCTCTGCCAAGGGCCCAGGTTCAATACCTGGTAAGGGAACTAAGACCTTAGCACTGCCAAAAAATAAACAAAAAACAGAGTATGACTCCCAAACAAGGATGCAATAGTATCTGTACAAAGAAAATTAAAAAAGACACAAAAGTCAAACTAAGACACTGAAAACAGGTACATCTGTCTGTTAATTATGCCTCCGTTAGATTAATTTTAAGAAGTATTTAAAAAGCCTTAGAGCTCTTATGTTTCACTTTAAATAGCATATATTATAATCTTTTAAAAATTTTTGTTGACGTATAGTTGATGTATAATATTACATAAGTTACAGGTATACAGTACAGTGATTCATGATTTGTAATGGTTATACTTCATTTAGTTATTATAAATTGGCTGTATTCTCTGTGCTGTTCTCTATTCTTGTTCAATTCACTCGCTCAGTTGTGTCCGACTCTCTGCGACCCCACGGACCGCAGCACACCAGGCCTCCCTGTCCATCACCAACTCCTGGAGTCTACCCAAACTCATGTCCATTGAGTCAGTGATGCCATCCAACCATCTCATCCTCTGTCATCCCCTTCTCCTGCCTTCAATCTTTCCCAGCATCAGGGTCTATTCCTGTTAAACTTGTGAGTGTCCTCCTGTAAGATAATTAATTAAAGTAAGTTCCCTATTCTTGGTGCCATCAACTTGAGACTTAGGGTCCTGTAGGCTATCATCACGAACAATTATACTTCTGGAGAATAAATGGCTTGCCAAGCAAATAATAAGTTATTGTGTAACAAATACAGAGCTTCAGTTTAGGCGGATAGAAACCTCCTAGAGATAAAGAATGGCCATGGTTTCACAACAGTTTGAGTGTCCTTAATGCCACTGAACTGTCCATGTAAAAAAGGTTAAAATGGGGACTTCCCTGGTGGTCCAGTGGTTAAGAATCTGCCTGCCAATGCAGGGGACACAGTTTCAATCCCCCGTCTGGGGAGATTACAGATGCCGCAGGGCAACTCAGCCTGTGTGCCACAACTACTGAGCCCAGGCTCTAGAGCCTGTGCCCCGCAACAGGAGAAGCCACCGCAAGGGGAAGCCCGTGCCCCGCACCTCGAGAAAGACCCAGGGCAGTCAAAACTGAATGACAAAATAAACAATGTTTTTCATGGTGCAGTTTATGCTATACATATTTTACCATAAAAAAGTAACTTTAGCTTCTACCTAAACAGTTTTTGAAGACATCACACGGTAATGGGAGCCCATACGGTAGGAATGTCACAGATGCTCTGGCAAGGCGCCTCGGGTGCCTCTACCAGCAAGAAGTCTAAAATTAGGGTTTCAGTCTCTTCCATGTCACTAACTGTAATGCAACGTTCCTGAGACAAACCCCGTCCACCTGGTGATTTTCACAGAGGCACGGAGACGTGTGTCCAGGGAAACACATGCAAACCAAGGCAAGGTGAACTCCAAAATCATCCCTGCTGCTGATTCCATTCACCCTAACAAATATTTACTGAGAGCCCACTACAGCCCCACATTGTGCCAGGGCTTCGAGCAACACCTGCTCCCCAGGATCCTGCGATACAGTGACATTTTAGCCAAACTACTCATTGCCTTGACAATTTCAAATAATAATATGGGGTGGGGGGAACGGACTGGGAGTTTGGGGTGAGGAGATGTCAACTATTACATATGAATGGACAAACAAGGTCCTACTACATAGCACAGGGAACTATATTCCATATCCTATGGTAAACCACAATGAAAACTATGAGAAAGAATATACATATATAACAATCATTTTGCTGTACACCAGAAATTAACACTACATTGTAAATCAACTATGCTTCAATTAAAAAATATAAATAAATAAACCATCAAATCAAATAGCATTACAGGACACAGTGTGACTCATCTTTCTCAAAGAAGGCAAGTGCTTTCTTGTTTACTTTTCCATTTTTTTCCTTTGTACTCTGAAATGATTCAAACTTACAGAGAGCTGAAAAACGATTACAGATAGCTACCGTGTCCTGCGTGTGTGCTAAGCCTCTCAGTCATGTCTGATTCTTTGCGACCCTGCGGACTGTAGGCCACCAGACTCCTCTGTCCACGGGCTTCTCCAGGCCAGAATACTGCAGTGGGTTGCAAGCCCTCCTCCAGGGGATCTCCCTGACCCAGGGGTCCAACCCGCATCTCCAGAACTGACAGGTGGGTTCTTTACCATCAGCGCCACCTGCACAGCCTAACTTCCCCTTCACCCTCGGTCAACAGTCACGGATGTTCTGGCACCTGCCTTTGCCTAGCTCTGGCTCTCTGCCTCTCCTCTCCTCCCCTGCCCCTTCCTCTCCGCCCCTCCATCCACAGCTAACCAGCTCCCTCCTCCTCCCCTTCCCTCTCCCTCTCTCCTTACAGACTGGCTTTCTGGAACCACTGTGAAGCACAAACATCTGCTTTTATTCTGAAATACTTTATTATGTATTTCCTAAGAACACTCTCTTATATAACCACAGTGCAACTGTGAATTTCTGACAGTTAACAGTGATTGAATAGAACTACCTAATATACACTCCATACTCTAATGTTGCCAACGTCTGAACCACTGGGAGAGTGGGTGGTAAAATACTGATACCGGATCTTAAAATGCTGATTTGAAGGCTCCTTCCTCAGCCACCCAGTGGACTAACAGCCTCCCAGGAGACCTGGTTTACTTCCCATAGGACCGTTCCCAAAGGACTCCAGGCAGAAGG